TGAAAAAATATTCATTGTATTGAAAGCCAGAGGTCCCTGGTGTGGGAGGTCTCCGACACAAGCTCATGCAAAGATGGCACGCGGGGAGTCTCCTGCAGTCTCCAAAGGAAATCCAGGGTGTGTAGGAAAGATTCAAAAAAATCTTTCTGTCTGGGGGAAGATTTTTGCTGAATTTGATAGGTGGAATTACTCCTGCACTGTTTGGTGGGAAATATGCTGAAAAGAGCGGGGGGGGGGGGGGGAATGGGATTTTCACACTACCTGAAAGAAAGACTGAGCTTTACAGAATCCTGGAGAGGCTGCATAGCATGGAGTGAAAAATCATATGTGCAAAGATAAGGGCATCTCTGTTCTACCCAGGGGGACTCAGTGAGTCACTGCACGTAAGAGCCTTGGTTGTTTACATATCCCTTCAAGAAAATTCGGAAGAGGGATCATGGAGGAATGAAGAATCCGGTCCGCGAATTACAACTGTATTCCGAGGCTATTTTATCTAGCTGAATATCCATACACAAAAGGGCAGAAAGGAGTTTTCTAGAAATAAAATAGCTAAACCTCAAGCGATTCAAATAACGTTATGTTTAAGCGGGAATTTGATGCCAGGAACCTCCTGCGTCTCTCTTCTCATCTTCCTTGTGTTCTCCCCTCTGCTTTCCTCTTTTTGAAGAAAAAAAAATGGACCGCGGAAAATATTCACCATGCTGGATTTGCAAATGCTCCTGGTTAGTTCTTATATCACAAATGTTTGTGAACATTCAAGGAACACTCAGAGGCAGCTTCTAAAGAAGTCATTTCTCTATTTTTCCCATTCACCTGCCACCTTCCATCTCCAGATTCAAAGATTCTGCGCTTCTGAAGGCTCCATAGTGTTTGCTTGGCTATGGCTTCACGCAGGTAAAAAGAGAGAGAGAGAGAGAGAGAGAGAGAGAGAGAGAGAGAGAGAGAGAGAGAGAGAGAGAGAGAGAGAGAGAGAGAGAGAGAAGAAGAAGGAGGAGGAGGAGAGGAGAGGAGAGGAGAGGAGAGGAGAGGAGAGGAGAGGAGAGGAGAGGAGAGGAGAGGAGAAAAGAAAAGAAAAAAAGAAAATCTGAAAACCAAGTTACCTTGGGGAGGTGGGAAGCAGCAGGTTAGATACGGAAGAACGTCAGTAAAGAGGTGTGTGTTAATTACATTCTGGTTGAGAAACTGAAATGGGCATATTTAGATGAGCGAGGAGTATTTTTGTTTTTTAAAACAGGAATTTACCCCATCATCAGCAACCACTCCCCAAATTCAGACGTTCTGTCTGATTTAGCCCCCAGAGTGCTTGGTAGGGAAGACTAGAGCCGCAGTTACACAGTGGAAGTAAAAAAGGAACTAGCTCTGATCTAGCAGCAGCGGCCACCTGTGCCCCCCCCACGTCCCCCTCCATGTGACACCCCCCCCCCCCGTTACCCTCCCCGTGTGTTGCGGACCCAGACAGCATCTCGTGGTACAGGCAAAGTCTCGCGCAAAGCTCTGCCAGCCCTCGCGGGGCCCCGCCTCCTATTGCTGAGGGTCACTATCCAGTCCCACTGACGCGGGGGAGTGCGCACGACTCCTTGCCTGCAGCAGTAGGCTGTGAGCGCAGAGCCAGAGACACCTCAGGCTCTGAAGTGCGCTGGGACCTGGACGGACTGGCGGCTCGTCCGCCAGTCCGTTTTCATCTCTCCTCTGCCTAACCAGCACACTGAGGCTGGTAGGCTCCTAGCTTTCCAGTCCTTCTCCGCATAGAACGTTCTAAGGTAAGTCTCAACCTTTCCAGGAAAGACTGGAGATATCTGGGGGTGAGCTGCTGTCCCTGAGACTGACACCAGGTAAACGGGGGAATGGGCAGACTGCCCATATAATGGAAAGATTTGGGGACGTGGTATCCCCAAGTCTACGCGCCCACAGCCCCGAGTCCTCAACCTGTTTGCTTGTTTGTTTGCTGTTTTTTTCCACAGGTTATCCGCAAGCGCAAAATACTGAATTCTTAAGAGCTCTGGGTGATTTCTTAGAATTTCCCTCCTGTTTTTGTCTGTTTCTATCAGCAGGGATCCTGGAACTCCTGAAAAAGTGAGGATTTCTGCTCCAAAACCACCTGGAAAGCCCTCCTTTCTATTTACCACATCCCATCCCATTCTCGGAAATCTGGGTGTTTTAGCCCCCCACACGGTCACGCTTTCACAATGAAATGTTGTTGTTGTTGTTGTTTCTTGCGCGTCAAAGTACACTTAAACTGTAAGCTTGAGCTCGCTACTGCCAGTTTCAGAGATGCAAGGGTCTTATTCCCCCTCCCCAGACCCCTCACCCTTCTTGCCACCTCGTTCTCCAGGGAAAATGTGGGCTATAAAAGACTGCTGTAGAGACTAAGTCTTCTCCCACGGGAGCCCTTCACCTGTTGGAATCATTTGATCCATAACTGGGGAGGGGCTCCAGCATAGGGTAGAGATGAATCAGTGTTCACCATCCTTTCTACCCGCAGTAGAGAGAGAGAGAGAGAGAGAGAGAGAGAGAGAGAGAGAGAGAGAGAGAGAGAGAGAGAGAGCAAATTCCTGTAATTAGAACTATAGAATCTCAGTCTCCAGGGTGTTGCTGGAGGTTGAGGGGTGGTCACCAATAGCAACCACCCTTAGGAGGCTAAGAGGTCTCATGATGACGCAATTCCTTACAGCCCCACCCTCCTGAAATTTGAGGAAGGGGCTTGGAATGAAATTATATATTCCTCTCCACTGCCCCCTACTGACCATTTGGCTAAAGAGACATCTTGCTGGGAAGAAGTAGTTCTTACCTATTTTTTAAATCCCTTACCCACTTGATGGTCTAGAAAATGCCAGAACCTGCTTGGAGATCCCCCCCCCCCATACTCCCCTGAAATGAAGGGAGGGGCAGAGACTCAAACCTTTAAGGCACAATGCCTGACTCATTTAGATGCTATGTTGGAACAGCCCTTGTTTAGAGGAGTCACCCCCCATAGCCTGACTGCCCCCAGTCAGAAGGGACATTTAGGGAATATATGTGGTTAAAAGGGACCCTTAACCTTAGCATAAGGATGCTTCTTGTTTAACCCCATACCACATTTTTTTTTAAAAGACAGGCTCCCACTAAGCATCTCCAGGAAGAACTGATTGTTAATAGCCCAGCCTCTCTTCAAACTTGTAATCCTTTCGCCTTAGTGTCACCTGTACTGGGGGAGGGGACAAAAAACAAAAAAAAAACAACCCCCCCAAAAAACAGGGAGTACTCTGCCTGCTAAAATATTATTTGGGATTTATTTAATTGTGGAGGGTGGAGTATGGAATCCATTTTCTGCAGGCATGCTAAGTGGCATTCAGCTGCATCACCAATTTTCCTTAGTAAATTTTGTGGGGTAGAGAAGGAGACAGAAGGAGATGGGAAGTAGAAAGGAAAAAAGAAAGAAGGTCTGTGTCTCCTGCCCCATATTATCAATATCACAGACAGCAATGCATTATTTGTGCTACACAAACATATACCAGATGCATTCAACAAAACATACAAAACAAGAGCATGCATAGCAGAGAAACTCATCCCATAAACATATAGCATGCAAACATACCACACAAGCACAGAAGGTGGTGTTTAGAAAATGCACAGTTTACAAGTCTGCAATTGTGGAAATATAGTCATGTTACATGTGAGTTCACATAAGCAACAACATAACTTTTTAAAACAAAATAAATCGGTAACACAAAACACATACACAAAATGCCCATGCATAACCTCCATGGACATGCACTAACAACAAAACACTTCACACACACACACACACACACACACACACACACACACACACACACACTGCACCATTTTCTCCCTTATGGCCAGACCTTATTTGTTTAAGAATAATAACAAAAAGTAGCCTTCTAGTTTAAGAAAACCCAGAGATTTTTCCATCTTGAAGAAGGTGTTTGAATTGTATACATTTTCTTTCATACATGCTAATTTAATCTATTCCAGTGGCTTATGAAGTATATATAATTGCCGCTAGGAAGTTGGAGAAACCAAGGCAAAAAATGCTTTTAAGTATGTAGTTTTATTTTGATTGATACAATGACTATGCATATTTATGGGTATATTACTACATTTTGACAAATGTATACAATGTAAAATTACTGGACTATGTAATTGGCATCCATTTTATCTCACAAATTTTCCATTTCTTTATGTTGATACATTCCAGGTCTTTCTATAAAATTTAGAAATATGTAACTAATTTTTGTTAAGCATAGTTATTTGCACAGTCATACAGCAAGTTAGTGACAGGAGTGGGTAGTATAGAAATGTAAACAAAAATCTTGCCTTTAAGTTTACAGTCTCTGACATCCTAGACTTTTACATGTATGTAAATGTGCACATTCTTAAATAGTTTTCAGCTCCTGCAGTTGGAGACTAGTCACGTCTTTGGAAACCCATTTTTTTCTGGCTTGATTGTTTTATTTATATAAAATTCTCAGTACAAGTCAGAGCTGTCAAAGACCTATCTTTGCTTTCACAAGGCAAGGTAGAAAGTTCAGACTCCCATAACCCTACAAATTATGGCAATAATCTAGAGTTACCTATTTTGCTAGACCTCAGTAACACAACTCTGATTATGCATTTATTACTAAGCAATTAATTAATGGAATATATTAGAAGGCAGTAACTGTTTTAGGCAAAATTTATACACTATCATGGTAATAAAATAAGGTAGTATATGTAGCATTCTATATGGGTGATCTAATTGGCTTGATAGGATCCCATCATTTTAATGAAAGTGGATTGATTAGCAAGCCTGCTGGCTTCTCTCCTCTTATTATAAAAAGGTTAACACCTTAGATCCTGGCTTCTTTGGGCTCACTATTCTATAAAATGCTAAAGTCTTTGATCATTTCCATTTTAGGTGGAACCAGGAGTTTCTGTTTGTGAAGATTTGGAAAAGGACTTCATCATCTATATCCTTTCTGATCTCTTGGGACCTGTTTAATTCTTCTCCCTAAACAAAAATGAACATTTCTTTGCTGTCACAAATGGAAAGTATAATTGATTGGTTCCGACCAAATATCAGTTGGGTTCCACTGATCGAGGATCAAAATTACAGTTACACAACTCTGGATAGAACCAACATAACTGCAGAATGGGAATATCCAACAGAATCAATGAAAAAATGGTTAGGGACCAATGCCCACATCATTGCTAAGGTTGTGCTGAGTATTGCATATGTTATCACCACAATTGTATCTCTCTTTGGCAACTTCCTGGTATGCCAGGTTTTTCTCAAGCACAATGAAATCAAAAAATCAACGGGCCTTCTCATCTTCAATCTGGCAGTATCTGACATTACGATAATCCTCCTCAACTGTCCATTTGCAATGGTGAGTGATGTATAGAGAGTTGGTTTCAGTACATAAAAAAGATGCTGTTCCATTTGAAGGGTGGGTGATGGGACTACAAAAGCAAAAGGGAATATACATATTTGGGGCCTCCATCTAGACTCGAGCTTCTCCGCTGTGCTTGAGGATAACATTTGAATAAATAACCTACACCTTTTCCTTGTTTTTGTCCCTTAGACTCGTTTCCTGGCTGGACAGTGGGTGTTTGGTAGATACCTGTGTCATGTCAGTCGTTTCGCTCAGTACTGCTCCCTCCATGTTTCAACTCTTACGCTTATTGCTGTTGCCATGGACCGACACCGGGTAAGACCACTTGAGGGCACTTTTGAATAAAAGAGCAGGGGGTGGCAAAGAGTCAGGAACACTAGACATCTTGCAGAAATCTACAGGGCGGAGCTGTATTTGAAACTAGAATATGTTTGTGGACTGCTTCTGACACTTCTCCCCACTGTCGTACTCTCACAGGTAGAGACCATTGTGAATTTCAAAGTTTCAGCCCTGTACTTGCGTTTTATGCATCTCTCTTTAATTCAAGCAGAAACTCATGAACCTGTTTCAGATTATGCAAACCACACTGATCTTGGCTGATTCACGAAGGGTGTTTTTGGTCTTTTGTAGGTAATTCTGCACCCAATGAAACCAAGGCTAACATACTCCCAAAGCTTAATGGTTGTTGCCGTGATCTGGAGTATTGCTATATTCCTTGCTCTTCCGCATGCAATTTACCAGAATGTATTCGTCTTCTTGAATGAGTAAGTCAGACATAATGTGTAATTTCACCTTTTTCTTTCTAGAGACTCCCAGAAAGTGGACATTTGCAATGTTCTTAACTTTGTTTTCATCCATCCCCCATTTTCCTGAATAAAACATATGGTGTTATTTTCTAATTCCAATGTGTTAGTGAAACCAAGAGGATGGGCCATCAAGTTAAGGTCACTAGTAATGAAGAATCTAGCTGTGTTCAGATTGTTCTATACCCACACTAGGCCCACCAGAGATAACACTTTAGTGCAACCCCTTAATTTCAAAATTGAAGAAATTAAGACCGAAACTATCAAGGGACTGAGATTTCTTATGGACATACAGTGTAAAGTAGCTCCTAGAAGCTTTCTGGGATCTTTTCAGTTATCTTAACTTTTTTTTCTGTTTTCCTCCAGGGATGGTGTTGCCATGAGCTACTGCCTCCCTTCCTTTCCTGGACCCAGCCAGCTGGTTTCGAAATATGTGGACCTTGGTACATTTATCTTGCTGTACGTTCTGCCACTTATGGTGATTGTTGTAACCTATTCTCACCTAGGAAAGAGGCTGTGGCTCCAGAATGCTGTTGGCGATGCATCTGCCCGTCAACTGATGGCACACTACCAGAAGCGAAAGAAGAGCATCCGGATGCTGATACTTATTGTGTTGGTCTTTGCAGTTTGTTGGTTTCCACTTAATTTCTATGTGGTTCTTATATCCAATGCAGGCGTAGAGAATGATAGCGTGCTTTTTTATGCCTTTCACTGGTTGGCAATGAGCAGCACCTGCTACAATCCTTTCATCTACTGCTGGCTCAACAGGAACTTCCGTGCCAAACTAAGATCGGTAACATCTGTAAGAGTGCAAGCACTGTTTTTATGTAAGAGCTCCCAGGTTCAGAAAATAAATGCACCCGAGAGTCATGAGCTTCAGGAGCTCAAGGCATCTTCACTGCTACGAGTTCCCCTGGCTGTTCCAGAGGCCCCGGTAGTTGAGGATCCCAGTTTGGCTACAGGGGATAATTCCCAGGGTTCTGTTCAGGGGGATTCGTCAGATCCAGATCCCTCCCTAGATGAAGAGGTGGCGGCGGGGCCCTCCGCCCAGGATGCTTACATTTGCATTCACGTGCAGACTACCAGTCACTAAGTTGGGCACCCATCTGATCCATCAGAACCTTGCTTAATGAGTACCTTCGCACAGACAATTCAGTCAGCGATGGCATAACCTTTAACTTAGATGTTGAGTACAGTGTTTTACTATCATGTCCACCCTCACAGTCTTAGTTCTGGCGTCAGAACTCTACTTGATAAGTCCACTGTGCCATAATGTGGAGAACTGACTGGCCAGACCCTGAAGGAATTCCTTGTTACTTACCTTAAGTACCTTTGAAGATGAACTTACGAGAAGTAGATATCCTGAATAAGAGTCTTTCTTTGCCTCCAGCTTTGACCTGTGATTATTGCTAGTAGTGATAATGAGATGGAGGAACTGTGATTGAGAGAGGGCCGTGTAAAGCGTTACTAGGAAGACCACTTGCCAGCCCCTCTCTACCGTTGGGAACACCCTTTTCTCCACTGCACTTGTGCACCGACTTGGTGCTGTCATATAATGACTTTCTGCATCAACTTGGTCTGAGGCAAAGACTCATGGGAAGGAACAGAAATACTGCTGAGCGACTCTGGACTTTTATTACCCCATCTTTGTAAATGTGACTCTGTACACCCAGTCTACAGATCTTTGATGTTAGACTGATTTCCCCAGCTTCAGATATCTCATCTTGTAGATTATTGTGGACTTTATCTGGAGGAATTACTTGGACTTTGAGCTAACTGAACTAGTGTATACAGGCATATGTGGTCTCTGATGAATTTGTTGAACTTTCCTATCAAAACTGGCCATCTGAATTGACTATTAACTGACTGTTGGTCATACCTTTCTCCTAATACTTTCACAACAAGCAGATCAGCATCCCCACCCCCAAACTATTCCCTATCAACTATAATTTGTCACACCTTCACATGACATAATCAAGTGCATACATGCACACACATGCACACACTTTTATGTTCACACAGGTATAAGCATGTATATATTGCTCCTTGTTACCTCTCATGCTATCCACCTGCCTGGTGCTCTCACTTATTTCTACCTGTAATTTTCATGCTCACTGAGCCTAGACAAGATTTCATGCCTTAAAGTGAAGTCTTGGAGGCTCTGAGATTGTGGCAACTTTTTGCCTCTGTTAACAGCATTTCTTTACAGTTGGTGCTTCACTTTGTTTGATTTGATTTGATTTTTTTGATGTTGTCTATCTCCCTGTGAAAATTGTACAGATTCAAAATCAAATTTGTGTTCTCATGTGCTAATAACATTCCTTTGCTTTTTCTATGCTTTTCTCTAACTGAATCAAGTTCATTGTATTTCCCTTTCTCATATACCCATTTCAACCCAGTTCACTTTAATTGATAGTCTACATTCTCTTTTGTTGATTATTTCAGTCTCACCCATACGGTGTTATACACTCCCTTCCGGAAGTACCCTCATAGTCTACAACACTGCTTCTCTCTCCTTTCAACATTCCACCCAGGTGCTCACTTTTCCAGATTTGTTTGTCCTAGGATATTTAATCTTGGATTTTGGTTGCTGCCTTAACCAGAGGTTCCGAACTTCCTGTGCTGAGGCTCATCATCTCTTCACTAATTGAAGCCTCCTCATTTCCGGTGCTTTGTTCCATTGTAGACTCTAGTCTTTCTTTCCGTTTGCTTCCCCTGCTTTGCTTTCCCTCTCTCCCACCTTCCCTCTCTTTCTCTCTCCTTTCTTTCTCTCTGTCTCTCTCTTTCTCTCTTCCTCTCCTTTCCCCTTCTTCTCCCCTTCCTTCCTTCCCTCCCTCCTCTCCTTGGTGTTGATCTAAGTCTAATACTAATTCATTATTCCTTTTCTGGTTTTCCCTGTACACAAATCTCCCTCTTTCAGTTTCTTGCTTTTTGTCATAGAGTTTCCCTTCCTACCTAAAAAGAGAGTGAACATGAGTGAAGATTCTTGCTTTTGTGCATTAAGTTGGTTTAGAAAATCCATCAGAGGGCACCATGCGCAAGGATATTGAGAAAAGTCTAACAGTTTCCTTGAGATCTCAGCATTCCTCTAAATTGTTTGCTTAGATTTTCTTTGTGAATAGTTAAAATTTAGTATCTGATTATAAATGTAGGCATTAGTATCTGCTTACAAATTTAAGAACTATATTGTTGTGAACTGATTTAACTAACTTTATGTAGAAGACAAGTTTATTCGTGGCCACAAACTTTACCTTAGATATGAGACTTTGGTGATCTAATTGATTTACTTTAGCACAGAATTAATGGCTTCAAGAAACCTGTTCTTGAAAGAAATCTAGCACATATTCAATATGTGTGATCAATACAGCATCTGTACAAGTAAAAGCACTTGGTGCTTTGACTTTGATGTAAGGCAAGAAGTATCTACAATGGAAACAAGCCTGGGACTCAGAATAATGGGACAACGATGTTTTTTTTTTCTTGCATCAACTATTTGTGTGACCTTAGGAAAGTCATGTGGCCTTAGTGTTCCCCAGTTTCCTCATCTATAAAAGGTGGATAATAATACCTACTTCCTTACAGGGCTATTGTAAGAGTTATCTGTGATAACAGGTATTATTGTTGTTAATAGGTTCATTTTCTTGTTACCTACCTTGTGATTATTGCTGTTACTATTACTACAATTGTAAATGTTACTACTGTGATTGTTAAATTGCTGTTGCTGTGCTCCCTTTGAAGTGCTGACCTGTACACAACTAAGGTGGTTATGCAGATGTTTAAGAAAAGACTACTTGATGGATCTCATGGGACAAAAGAGAAGCGTCTACTGCCAGTGTAGATTACTTGAAACTTGGTTGGACAGAATACTGTTGAGAGGAGTTTTCCAGAGTAAAGCTGAGACACCAGCTGAATTCTAGATAACTGAACAAAAGAAGCACAAGCCAAGTAATAGGTGAATGAATACTGTTGACTTAGTCTCTCACATAGGTTTCTCAGAATTTCAGCACTTCTGCTCTGAAGAGAGCAGCAGATAAGAAATCAAAGGACAAAACTTGAAAGAGGTAAAGTGTTTACAAAGTACGGAAGTGACACAGGGTTTCTATTCTGAATTGTCATCCCTTTTCTAAGAACCCCCGTTATTTATGATTCAATGTAATTCTAAATAATTGTATTACATATTTATATTTGTTCGTGTTTTAGATATCATAGTAATATATTATGTGTAATAGTACTCATTACGGTGCTCTTCTAAAGTGTGCTTAAAGTGTTTTATGGTGTTATATTTAACCATTTCTCTGCCGAGATAGTTCGCAAACTGCAAAAAAAGAAAAAAGAAAAAATCCTGAATTTTACTCACGTGTGCTCGTTTATATGGAACACTGAAACTTCCCCAAGACTGAATATTGATGTTGGACTTTGGAACAGTGTGCTACCCTGGAATGTATCTGAAACAGGTTACAGTTGAGGGAAACCCTTTGCCTCGACACAACACCTGCTTTCAAAACTGTACTGTTTGACAACCAGCAGGAGTGAATTATGAAGTTTTGGAGCTCCAAGCTCTACTCAGATGATCTGTTCAAAAGGAGAGCTGTCAAATTAAGGGTTCAGAGTTGGCTATCGAGTGTCAGCTGGTTTTTGTACTTAAGTATATTTTGATGGGAATAATTTTTCAAGTGTTTGAAACTACAAACCTTTACAAATCCTTTGTGACTATGTATGTGCTCAATTAAAAATAAATAAATAAAGCAAAAGCTAATGAAAGCTGTTTCTTCCTTAGTGCAGGCCCCTGTACTATTTTAAGCTCTAAAAGAGCAACTCAGTAGCCAGTCACCTAAAAAGGACATATTGACTTTAGGCGCAACAGCCTGGGAATTAAACTTGATTAAACAGAACCTCTTCCTGGCATGGTCACACCGTTGCTGCAGAAACAAATGTGTGGAATTAAAAGTGCTCTAGGGGCTTTAGTTTCTCCAAGTATCGGATTCAGTAAAGGGTAAGCTCCCAAAAGGTGGGAGAGGAGAATAAAAGATATCATAAAGAAAATGGTCAGGGGCAAGTGACACACACAGCAGTTATAGACAATGATTATGCTTATGTACCTTTCTAAATGTAACACTGCTAGTCCGTGTTGAGAAGTGGCCGCATGGAAGGGAACTGTGAGGTAAATTGATTGGTCATTATTATAAAATCGGGTGGGATAATAGAAGTCTGGATAAACTGGCAGGTTCGAAGCTGTGTCTAAGTGACTGAATACAGTTAGGGAAAGGAGGAGGACTGGGGCTGTAGCATCAATGAGCCAAGCTGCTGCGGCCAGCTCCTGGATCTCTGACCATATTTGCTCTGCACAAGAGTGAACTCCCACACATAGCCTTGGGTACCCACTGCTGCAGTGCTGCAGCTGCTGGAACTGTATCACCCATAGCTGTCTTGTAGATTAGGCCAGTGAACTGCCCAAAGGACAGGCACTGTCAATTAGCTTTTCCCATGAATAGACCCCTGGTGACCACCACTACTGTCCCAGATGCCACTATTTCCAGACACCCCACTGATCAGTATTGTTTCTGCCAGTGAAAGAACCTCAGAGGAATGGGTAATCAGGTTGTTGAGAGCAAACATGGAGAATATACATGAACATTACAATCAATCAAATGTAAGTACATAAAATATGGACAGAGAGAGCATCAGTGAGGTACCAAATAATGGTTCCATCAAAGTCCAGTTTGGGTTTGTCAATGCAATGCATAAACTTTGTTTAGAGAACACAGCCAAGGGGTTACAGTACTTACTTGAGTGTGTATGACCCCAAGCAACTACATCACCAGAGAGTCCCAGTGATGTGGGCGGCCCCTCTGTGTGCTGTGATTATCATTAATGAATAAAGAAACTCTCTTGGACCTATAGCAAGGCAGAACTTAGGTAGGCAGGGAAAGCTAGGCTGAATGCTGGGAGAAAGAAGGGCAGAGTCAGAGAAAAGCCATGGAGCCACTGCCAGAATCAGAAATGCTGAAACTTTGCCGATAAGCCACTATCATGTGGGGATACACAGATTAATAGTAATGGGTTAAATTAATATAAAAGAAGAAGATATCTTAA